CCCCAAAACCCCAAAACCCCAAAACCCCAAAACCCCGTGATCTATTTATATCATTGAAATCAGGAAATTAGAAATTGAAATCGTCATCGCCATCATCGTCAAATCCGCTGTATTGATCTTCTATATCTTCATCTATATCTTGATCAATATCGTCATCTCCAAAGCCATAATCATCTGGGATGATAGATTCCTGTCTGTTGGTTTCTGCCTTAATATTCTTATCAGAAGGTTGCTTATTGAGATTCTGCCCCCAATTAGACCCAGAAGGTGTATTTCCAAAATTGCCAGTTGGTTTGCTAACAGGTTCTAACTTCTTACCTCCTCCTCCAATTTTTGAGAAGGGGTTCATAATATTGGAGGAAATCTTCTTGGTTGGATTGGAGAGCTCACTTTTCTCTTTATCCTTTCTTTCTCTCTTTTCTCTATCTCTTCTCTCTTGATCTCTTCTCTCCTGGTCTCTTCTCTCCTGATCCCTCCTCTCCTGATCTTCTCTCTGTCTTCTTCTTTCCTCACTCCGTTCTCTATCTCTTTGTTCTCTTTCTCTTCTGTCTCGATCTTCTCTTTCTTTACGCTCTCTGATCTGTTTTTCTCTTTGGGCTCTCTCTTCTGCTTCTTTTACTCTTCTAATTTTACGTTCTTCTTCTGCCATAGCAAGCTGTCTCTTGACAGGGTCTTCTTCAGATTTATACTCTTCTTTAGAGTTTGAGGGGGTTGACACAGGTGCAAATGAGTCGAAGCGGTGAGGAGACTCTTTCTTAGCAGGCTCATCATCTGATAAAGGGGTATCGTCTTTTTCGATGTCATAGTAGGGCTGGATTACTCTTTCAGCGATAGGAACCATGCCTATTTTGTTAATGTCACGCTTGACATCCCGACTAGCATCATTTAGATCATTCCAAACTCTTTGGCGTTCCATGTATTCAGTACCAAGATTGGGGTCTCTAATATTCGTGATAAGAGGAATTCCATTAGTTGTCAAGAAATCAGCTTGCCTGACTCCAACATTTACAGAATCTCCTCTAAAGTAGGTGTCAGCTCCATCATAAGCACTTCCCAGATTCTTGTTCTTGACTAACTTATCATTAACAATGGTCAACTCCTTTGTCAGATGTTGCTCGCATTCTACCTTTCTATTTAGGCTGTTGATCTCACTATTTAGTTTTTCTTTTTCAGCCCTATGGATATTTTTATAGTTCTCCATTTGCCTCTCTGATTCCGAGATCAATTGATCCTTGATCTGTCTATTAATGTCCTTTTGCTCTTTCAGTTGTTGTCTCAAATTTGAGATTATTTCGTCATTAGTTTCTTTTTCACTCTTCATTTGGTCTTTCTGAGCTTGAAGTAGTTCTCGAAGAGTTTTTGATTCATTTTCATAAGTCTCTGCTTGAGCAGTCTTTGATGTAATAATCTCATTATCTCTTAGCCCATTGTTGCTGAGTACCTTTAACTGATCTTTGATGTCATTATAGTCTCTCGACATCCTCTCATGTTCCATTGAGATTTTCTCTAACTTTTCTTTGAGGTTTGAATTTTCTAACTCAAGTTGTCTCTTGTCTTTTTCAGTGACAAGGTATTTATCCTTGTTAAGATTGAATCTATGCTCATCTTCTTCAAGCTGCATCTTTCTGATGTGAAGGTCTCTCTTCTCATCATCTCTTTCACCTTCATACCTCCTTCTAAATTCTTCGATTTCACTTGAAGTCTTCTTCTCTAATGCTACTTTGAGTAGATTTAAATCTTTTAATTTTAAATCTGCCTCCTTTTCTTTTTGGAAGAGCTTTTCCCTCTCATTTTTGATCATCATAAGTTCCATTTCTACAGTCTTTTTGCTTTCAATTTCCTTGACACGAAGGATTTCAAGATCTTTAAGAACTTGTTGTCTGTGTTCAAAGGCAGCAGCTTCAACTTCTCTCTCTTTGATTTTGCATCTTTCGATAACCTCAGACTCTCTTTGCCTGAGCTCTTTTATTTTACTCTTGTGAACAGAATCAAGTTCATTACTGTACTCAGCAAGCTTGGTTCTGTAAGCAGCTGCTTCTTCAAGCCTGACATGAGAGATTTCGATCTCTCTGACTTTGGCCACAGCTGCTTGGACTTCTTTAGTAACTCTTTCGTCACATTCTCTTTTATATTTGATCATTCTTTCTTCGAGAACTTTGTAAGGCATAACCTTTTCAGCCGCACTTGCCTCCATATATTTCATATCTAGTTTATTTAAGCTTCTGATCAAGTGTAAGGCCTTCTTCTCCTTCATCAGTTTGAACTGAGCAGGTTACTTGATTTGGCCTTATCGAATGACCTCTTCTCATAGCCTCAACAATGTCTGTGAGTATTGGGGTATTTATCTTCTCAAGAGGAGTAGCTTCATCATCTTCTCCAATAAGTCCTTCCGCCTTTAATTTAAGTATGTCTTCAAGCTCAGTTTTGGTTAATGTTTGTGTTCCGATTCCAGATTCTTGTATTAAAACACTAATTGAGTAAGCCATATCATTTTTCTTTAGAAAATCATTGATCATGCTTATACAAAGTTTAAATACAAGGTTGTTGCTTTTGGCATCAAGTTTGGCCTTCATTGTGGCAGCCTCACTTCCAGATCTCTTAGCTTTCTCTCTAAGTTGATCAATGATCTTTGACCTTGTGTTTGCTTTGATAGTTCCGAGGATACCGTTGTTCTTGAGGCTTTCGTACATGTCTCGCTTGTAGTCATCCTCCCTGACTTTTATTGACCTTTCGTTCATTTTAAATTTAAATATTATCTAATATGTTATTAGTTAGGGGTTTTGGGGTTTTGGGGTTTTGGGGTTTTGGGGTTTTGGGG